GGGGGGGGGATGCCTGATATCGGCCCTGTCTGCACCCATGGATTAAACATCCATGATGAACTACGTGTTTCTTTTTCCTTGCCGGTATCCCAACCGACGGCCATGGAAGGATTGTAGGCCTACAATGTATCGGGTGTCCCATAGAACCAGTACTTTTTCAAATACCGCATGCAGGCGTGCGGGTGGACTTGAAGTTTGTCCAGCGGGCAAGTCTGCCAGAAGGGTAGTTCAAAACTACAAAACCACAATTTCTACTGAATAGAAACATCATATGCCTGTTGCTGCATAATCATGTTTTTCATTTCAAGGTCGCCCATCGTGACGAGAAGAAATTGTGGTTTTGAAGTTTTTGAAACAACCTGCTTCCAAACATGAAAACGGAGTTGTTGATGTAGATGAGGACAGCGCGGTGTATCGAAGGGTGCGTGAAGGCTAGCGTGAGACTTGAAATATCCTATCTCAAAATGTCAAATCCGTCATATGTTCATCCTGATCATCATTAAGGTGGTTGCGGCCAAATGAGAACTGATTATTAGATCAGCAGGTGTTTGTAAAAGTTACCGCAATTCTACTTAAATTTCTTCCTTTTTTTCTCCAATCTAGTTTAAACCTGGCGTTTAAAAAGCCCGCGGGTTGTGACGTCAGCGTCGCTAACGAAAAGACGCCCTTTTCACATAGTTTTCACCGGCTCCGTTTCGGCAGCGCCGCCTTCTAGATCGGGCACGAGGGGAGGGGGATAAAGGGGAAGGTGGGTACATCAGCAAGTCAGCACGTAAGGTTCTTGGATTCTTACAAAAAATGTTGTAAAAGGAACCAATGTGCAGCATCTGTCAGCATCGTGCTAACTTGATACGGTCTAGAATTTCGTTTTCGCTAGTTGACAGTGTCAGAAAAAAACAACATCAGGAAAACACCATGATTAGTTTTGATTGCAATTTTTAAGCAACGAAATTTGCCATGTTTCACGAGCATGACAGACACTAGCCAGTGAGCCTTTTAAAAATTGTTGTGACAACATCTCTTTCCCTTTAGGCCTAAATGTGTAATTCCTCCAGTAAGGGCCTTGGATCTTGTTGGAGGTTGGAGAACAAGACTTATGAGCAGATTTTGGCAGTGACATCCATGCATCTGGGTGTCACAAGAAAATGTCAAGTGGAATAACTGCAACTAATCAAACGGCTGAAACAGCTGTCACTTTTTCAAGATCTCAAGTACCTGAAGACAGTGAAGAAGATGACATCCAAATTACCTTGGCACCTTACATTCAATCCTACCTGGCTCATAGTGGAAGCCGTGTTGGTTGTTGTGGCTTATGTTTTCCGGTACCCTTTGAACGTGCTGCTCATCGGTCTTGGTGGGATCCACGATTTGATTCTGATATTCTTGAAGGACAGTACAAGCGCAGCTCATTCCCCCAGATTCGTTTACGATTCCGGTAATATCTACTTGTTAGACTTAGTTTTTCACTAAGAACCATACTTCTAAGATATTTAATTTGGTTTGCGCAAACCACATTGTTTTGAATTTCCTTGTAGTT